ATAGATTCCTGCCCATATGAACATTTTTTTTAATAAGACTTTTGACAATTTGGTCGGTAGTTTAATTTAGCTGTTTGTAAATAGACAGGGATGTACACTCAAACATGTGTACCCACTAAAATAATGTTTATAGCAGTAATGCATATATATATATATATATATATGGCCGGAAGTTACGTCCAATCATGAAACAGACTGTCGCCACTTGGCGTTGAGTTTGGTATATCATGTCCTGCGATTATCGGGTCGCTGAGTACCTGGCCAATTACCTCCACAGATATGGTTTGAAAGCCACAGACATATTTATTCATGCGTATCGTGGCGTCAACAAGTAGACCTGGCGGAGTCCATCCCTCTTCAAGTTAAACTACAGCCGATATCCCCCAATTTGAATGCTCGCCTTAATCACGGACATGTAGCCGTTATTTCTATCGTGGGTGGGGAGAGAGCACTGCCCTAGCCGTTGACTCCAGAATCTCAGAGTCTAAGAGATGCCGTGTCATTAACTCACTGGCTGCATACATAACCATGAAGCAAAGTCTACCTCATTGTGTTAGATTTCTCTTGACCCCACCGGAATGTTTATTTGCCCTTTGACGGATCTTGCTTTTGATCCTGTTAAGTGTCTAGCCACCATCCTCACCAGAAAAGCCTGGTGGATAGAACCGGCTTAGCCACTAATGACTCGATCATGCGACAGGTTACATCGTACCAGTAGCTGTGGTTATGTTTTTAACTTCTTTGTTTATATCATTTTCTGTTTCGTTATTAGTGGTTTTGTAAGATTTAGTGACTTCTTAGTCAACTACTTTATTGTAATTGTTGGTTTCCATTTTATAGATTATCCTGGATTTATCCGCTTTTATAAACAGATTTTTTTAAAGTTGTTTATCATGTTTAGATCTTTTCTCAAGTCGTATTTTGTGTACATTTTGTAAGTAATCTCTATTTAGTGGAATATTCTGGTGGGGTCATAAAAATGTCCCAACACATGTTTATAAATATACAAGGAACTCTTAAATTGCGATTGGCAGTGTAGATAAATTCATTTTGGAAGATATTCACTTGGTCCAGTTTTCTGTCAACACTTCTGTTGCTGTGGACATAATCTACGTAGCCTGCTCTCAACGTATATATTCGTTTTACGACATTGTGACATTTTAATCCATAACGTTTGCGTTAGTTCTATTTCTAAACCAATGCAGACATAAACCTGTTTTGTGACGTATTTTTATTGTATTGTGTTGGAAGTGTTGTTTAACTATGTCTGTCCTGCAGCGTATCCAATCGAATTCAAAATGGCGGCGCTCATGAGAAATTGGTGTTAATGTCTTTATTCCAGTAGATTTTCTTTTTTCCCCCAAATGAGCCAACACACTCGGGCACAAATGCTATAAATGCAGCAGTGAAAGTGTTAATAAATTTTACTCGCTCATTTTTTTTTTAAATCTGAAAAGATTATCAAATGAATCATGTGTAAGTAAGTCTTGAATGTGGTGACCAGTGTATGAGAAATTTTCTTATAAATGAGGGTGAAACGAAACAACAGCAAATAAAATTTATTATTGATAGAAATTCATTGAGATAAATCGCCTGTTTTTATTAGCGTTCTTAGAATAACAACCTTACTTGATTTCGTGGCATTTGACTTGGAGGAGAGTTCCTACCTGAACCCATATAGATATGTACCAATGATTTCCAATCTTTTCTAACTCACACTTTAAAACATGTAAAAATATTTCACTACACTTTGTATATAAATTCGAAACCTTATTCAAAAGAAGTATTTATCTATATTAAGATAACTAAAGTAGAAATATAGATAATGTCCTTGTTTCCTGTTCAGAATTGGGCTTCCGGTTCCTTCTAAAGTCATCTCATCCACTTTCACTCCCAGTAGCCTCTTGCGTCTTAGTGGCATTATTGCCTTGCTTGGGATGAACTGATTTTTAAAAAAAATACAGAAAACTTGTATGTATTCATCATTAAAGGTTTAGGTTAGGGTTTTTTTACAGCATATTAACACCTCAATGGGCTATTTAATGTCAACAGGATATTTTATATTCATTATTAAATGGAACAACATTATCAATCATAACAACAATATCATTATAATGTCCTCTGATAGGTTTTGACAGTGTTTTCATAGACTTGTTACTCAATCTCCAGCGTAACAATACCATAAGTGGAACTAAACATTTTCTGCTGTTGTAACTGGCAGTTATATACAGGTGAGCATATGCCCGGGTCCCTCAGACAGTTTTTCAACTTCTGTTCCAGGCCGTGGTTCGATTCTCGTTTTCAATGATGCTATAAACAAAACTAAAAAGAAAAACTACTGCATGATCAACAAAGAAACTTAAATTTATCGCACGAGGAGAAATGTCTCGAATCGTTCGTCTTGAGATATCACCTTGGTGAGAAAGCCAATAAGTTTGTTCTAACGAACAGGGTTTTTTATTCATGGATCAGTTCATTTGGTACTTCCTGATGGTAGGTAAGTGACACTTGTGGACATCTTCGCTGCTACTGCTGGTTTCTCACACGACAGACGAACGGACCAGAACTTCCTTTTGGTTAGCGTCTCTGTCTGACTCTTCTCACTCTATCCGTGACTACCCTGTTATCTAGAATATAGCCTCACTATATAATTCCTACCTTCTGGTTGATCTCGAAATTATTTATTTCATTTTTCTATACTTCTGGAAAGCAAGGGTTTGCTTAGAAACTCTCACATGTTGATTTTATTGACAATGCAATTGGTCGTCATAAAATCTGGTCGCTCCAGATCTACTTGACGATCCATTTTTTAAATGCTATGTCCTTTCAGGATGTAAGCGACCATAGCTGTACACAGTATCGTTTTTTATTATCTAAAAATTGCCATTACCTATGTGGAAATCTAGTGAAGTGGTTTCCCGTTGCTTTCTTCGCGATTTTGAATTCATAGTTGTTTTTTGCCATCCAAGGTTAGAGAAGCTAGTTTATGCTGTTATTTTAACCATACCTGGGTTAGGAATGGGAGACATGGATTCATTCCTTTCCTCAAGGACGTTAGTTTAAAAAATGAATGCAACTACCTTGGTAGGACCTTGAAATCAGACCGCTGATTCCGCACTCCGTATTGATAACTGTTACGCCACTCGCATTGAAATTCAGGACGAATTTCAATTTGTATTTTTCACATTTTGAAATATCTTACACAGTTTGGGAAACCATCCAAGGCTAGAATACCCATTCTACCTTGATGTTTAACCCATAGCTGTTGGGGAAAAGAAGAAATGAATTCATACATTTTTCCCAGAGACATTATTGTGAAATGAACACAAAAGACTCAGATGGAATTTGAACTCGGTTTATCGACTCTCTTTCCGGGTCAATAACCGTTATGCTACTCGCACGTCAAAAATCCTGATTCTGAAACTGAAAAATAAAAGCTGAAATATTTTAAAATTAAAAATTACAAAATGGGAAAGAAATTGGAAAAATTAAAAATGCTCTCAATTTTCAAATTAAAAATGCTCTTAATTTTAAAATTAAAAATGTTTAAATTTAAAAGTAAAAATGCTCTTAATTTTAAAATTAAAAATGCTCTTAATTTTAAAACTAAAAATGCTCTTAATTTTAAAATTAAAAATGCTCTTAATTTTAAAACTAAAAATGCTCTTAATTTTAAAATTAAAAATGTTTAAATTTAAAAGTAAAAATGATCTTAATTTTAGAATTAAAAATGCTCTTAATTTTAAAATTAAAAATGCTCTTAATTTTAAAATTAAAAATGCTCTTAATTTATCTTTATTATAAAATCATTGACCAGTATTGATCAAGTGATATGTATTGATTCTACTCTTAAAACTTTTGATGGATTATAACTCAGCGAAACTCTTGTCGTTTCACGACAAATGTACTTTTTCATTTGTTCTCTATTTTGTAGTTTGTCCATCGATTTATTAAGACGATATTACTATTAACACTTACTGCAAAAGTATTATAATCAATTCAATTTACCGACTAAAAATACTATTGCACAATAATAAACTTTTTACTTCTTATCAACTGAATGCAGATCATTATTTATAGATCGACTAAACTTGTTATCTTTTCTTAAAATTTACTTATCTGCGACTTTGCAATGTCTATATCCGCCTTTCATTGGCAGGATGAATGACCCAGCTGGTCAAAGATGTAATTATACAATTTTTTACAGCTATGTTATATATGTCTTTCTGTTTATCACGATTTCATGTCTGTTATTTGATATCGGGGACGTGAGCTTTTATAGGCGACTATAGTTATTTAAACTGAATATGACAATCTCTAAATATATTAAAATCTATCGATGGGAAGTAGAAGAAAAAAAATTATAAAGAAAAGTATTGATAGAAAGGAAAATGTGGTTAGAAACAAAGAAAAGAATACCGAACTGCTATGCAATATCTAATCTTCAAGATGGCAGTCAATATTAGACAATTTCTTCACAGACGAAGAAAAGCCTTCAAACGACAGAGATGGGGTTCTACTAATGAACTATAAACAGAACATATAAACACTGGGGATGTCATAGGAAAATTGGAACTGTAAGCTTATACTTATTCAAATTTATGGGCTATATAAAGAAAGAGAGTTTGGAGAATTTAACCCTCACAGGACGTTTTGGACGCATGAGAAACAGGGAGAAACAGCGAGTAACCTACTTAACAAGTTTGTACGAATCAATGGCAAAACGGGAACGAAGAGGGGTGGTAAAGAATCAAAAGTTACTTAGAGCAACAAAAGACAAGAAGTTGTGGAGAGCCGTGATCACCTACTTAACGAGTTTGTATGAATCAGTGTCAAAGCAGGAACGAAGAGGAATGGTAAAGAATCAAAAGTTACTTCGAGCAACAAAAGATAAGAAGTTGTGGAGAGCCGTAATCACCTACTTAACGAGCTGTGTGAATGGATGACTAAAAAAGGAATAAAACAGTAAACAAAATCGCTTAGTCTCACAACCACTTCACAGTGAAACATCGGTTCCCGTACCGAAGTTAAGCAACGTCGAGCCTGGTTAGTACCTAGATGGGTGACCGTTTGGGAACACCAGGTGCTGTAATCTTGGATGTGCGGGTGGTGTGACGGATAATGGCTCAGGATTGTTAATCGGAAAGCCAAATTTCAGTTCCCGTTGCGTTCTTTATATTCCCTTACGCGCAAATACTCTTGGGAAAGGCATGAATCCACCTCTTTCTTCCCCCAGCTATGGGTTAATTAGAAAGACTTGTATCACTAAACCCCAAAAATAACCAACAAAATATAGGAAAATATATTTATGTTGAATGGATAGGTCACACCCCTAATATTTTGGTAAAAGTGCGACCTATCCACGAGTATATACGGTACATTTTATCTTACAATTGATGATTAGTCATTTTTTCTCGCTTTCCTTTACTACCTTGTCTATGTTTTCTTTCTGTGCCATTCACACGATATGATTTGAATATCTTAAGTTGTTAAGATTGTACGCAACCATAATAAATCCCGGTAGGACTTCTAGTTCTCTTAGATTTGCCTCGTTGTAAAGGTTGAATAAATCCGGCGAGAAGACACATACTTTTCTTATGTCCTTTTCTATTTTTCTATATTCAATCAACCCCTTATTTTCTCTCCATATGCAGGGGTTTTGCTCGCAGTATAAGGTCTGGACTGTTCTAATATCTTTCCCAAATAAAATCGAGTTTTCCTAGCAATTCAAATAGATCTTTGTGTCGTGCCTTTTCAAATGCTTTTTTCATAGTCGGCAAGAGTCGACCGCTGTCGGGATCATAGAGCAATTGTAAATTCTACGGTTCCGAACTCTTATATGTACGCACGCGTGTGCACACACACATACACACACGCACGCACAAGACCGCACCGTAGTCGGGATCATGGGGTCATTGCAAACTCCACAATCCTAGCATTAACTGCATAGTATGTGATTTGCAGTGGGCTATATAAGGTTTTGAATTCAGGGTTGCTGGTTTACTGTTTTCACCCAAGGCTGAAGGGTCTAATCTGCCAAACTATTTAATCCATAGGTGGGGGATTCATAGATTCATACCTTTCCCAAGGGTATTTGCACAAAAGTAAATCTAATGAAACTCAACTGGAATGCGAAATTGGCTCTCAAATATACGACGGCAGAACTCTCTCTCTCTCTCTCTCTAGCGCGCGCATGTACACACTCACTCACTCAACCGCAAAAATCAATCGGGGGTCATAGAGCCATTGTAAACTCTCAACTCTCAACTTTCAATAGCTTCATAGTAGTGATTTTCCAAGCGGATCTTAGATGTAGCACAAGGCCGAAAGTGTGGGGCACCGATTGAGGATCGAACTCACGACTGAGTTGCAATTGTTCTAGCGAAACAAGCTTGCTAACCATTACACCGCCTAGAGGTGCCCCAATAGCTTCATAGTATATGCTTCGTCATGGTTACATACGGTTTTTAATTCAGAATTGTCCTTCTCCTAGACTGGTTACGACCCAAGGCTGAAGTGTCCAGTTTACCCGTCTATTTAACATATATTTTCAAGATTATAACAAAATATGTAAACCAGCTACAATGTAATATTTATTATCATATTATAAAGAAATATTCATAAATTTATTAAAAAAAAAATCTGGACTATATAACAAGAACATTTGAATAAAAAAATGTCCCATTTTAAGATGAATATATAATAATAGTTAGATATCTCGAATGGTTAGAAAATTGAAATAAAAAAGTCATCTAAGAGTTTAAATAATTACGGAAGAAAATTTCTAATGTCTGGAAAATCGTCAGGCCTGTCGCCTCTGAGTGTTGACTTCAATGTTCACTTTATATATATATATATATATATATATATATATATATATATATATATATATATATATATATATTGTGTGTGTTTAGGCAGCATTTTTCATTCATACATGTTTCATTAAATAATATAGGCAAGTGTTGTCTATTTATTTTATGTAAATTCTTTTCATAACGTCTAATAAGCTTAATAACATTATCATTAAACGAAGAAAGAAAATCACAATATTGATGCATATTTTTTAATCCAATCTAAGCTTTCGGCTTACATAAGCCATTATCAAAGATGACAATCACATTACAATATATTAAGCAATACACTGAGAAGAATGTGATGACAGTCTGTTTCTGTTTACATGGATGATTTCCAAGCAACGATAAACACGTGCATATAAGACGCTGGAAGCGATTCAAGCGAGAGTGAATTCGAGAAGTATTAAGTATGGGAAGTCGTTGTTATAAACAAATGGCTTCTGTTACCAATTATAGACATTTAAGCATATTTGTGGAGATTTCATAGTTTATTTTTATTTAGGTTAGGTTTCAACTGTCTTATGTATATAGCTTCAAGAATTTTTAGTTTTTGTTTATTGTTTTCATGTTTAAGTATAATTGTGTTTTCGACAAGGATTTTACGGAATTGTGTATGCGGCCAGGCATGTTGTTTTAAAAGCCTAAAAATGTTTTCATTCAAATGTAGTGTCAAGCGTCGTGAAAGCGAGTTTGTGGTGTGACCAACATAAATATTATTTAATTCGTTGGAGATACAATCGCCCAAAGGGCACTTGAATTTGTAAACTATGTTGGTTTTTTGTAAATCGCTAACCGGGGGAGAAGAATCATTGCGAATAATTAAGTTGGATATACGAGATTTAGTGTAGTATATGATTAACTTTTTTTCTTTTTTTTGCTAGGATCTGTTGTTGATATATTAGTATTTGCTAAATTTTTTAGTATATTTTCATCTTGTTTATAATTAGTATGCATTTGATTACGATATTGGAGACTAATATGTTTGATATTAGTACAAACAGTATTATGTACTATTTGCTTAGTATTGAGATTTCTAAGTATTGTGAGACCGGAAACTACCTACACAATAGACTCTTCCAGGCCTATATTAAGTAGGCGACATAGCACTCTAGAGAGAGACAGAGAGTGACAGAGAGAGACAGTGAGAGTCTAGTACGACTACCAGTGTTGGACACTAACATATAGTAAGCTCCGCTTACACTATCTCTGTAACCTGTTGTTAATATATCTTTCTTACATCTAATCCGTGTTCCGTGTTTTCCTTCTGGGGTCCCAACTTTGGCCCCACATCACTAAGAAAGCATCTTATTTGTTCATCAACTATATATTTTGGAAAGCTATTATTAATAAGTGTTTGTTTTATATTCTTTAGTTCACTGTAAAAAATCTGTTTTGTGGATGAATTAATTTCTGCACGATGTATTAGATTCTTTATAATTGCTATTTTGTAGTAATATGGGCATTCGCTCTTGTAGTTAAGTGTACATGAATTTATGCCTGTAGGTTTTTTGTATGGCAAAATAGTAAATTTGTTATTATTTGTGTTTATCAAGGAAGGGAATTTTATTATTAATATTGAGTTCATATGTGAATTTAAGGACAGAATTATTTTGGAAACGTTTTTGAAGTTGAAGTATTTCATCTGTATTTTTAACTAACATAAGAATATCTTCAACGTATCTTAGGTAGATGGATGGTTTTTAAAATCTGTATATATCTTATTTTCGAGGTACGACATGTAGAAATTGCTAAATGTCGGACCCAGTACTGAACCCATGGAGACACCATCACGTTGTATATATATATATTATTATTATGATCGAAGAAAGGGACTTCAGTAGTACAAGCTAATAGTAGTTTCCGTAATATATTAGGATTAATTTTAAGTGGGGGTAAAGATGAGTTACTGTATATATTTCTTATAATTATGTCAATACTTTCACTAACAGGGACATTGGTAAATAAGTTTTCAACATCAAGTGAAGCCATGATTTCATTGTCGGGTTTTTCACTTTTTAGGATTTGGATTACTTCTAATGTTGACTTAACACTATATTTACTAAGAAGGTAAGTTGTAATGAGTTGATTAATGTATTTTGTTAGATGATATACAGGAGTTGGAATTTGCGATAAGATAGGACGGAGAGGATAGTTAGGTTTATCTGTTTTTATATTGCCGTATATGTAACCAGGTCTATAATCACCAACAATTTTAGGGAGTTTTAAAGAGTTCTGTTCAGCATTATTAGCATTAATAAGTTTATTAAGCTTTGATTTTAGTTGGTTGGTCGGGTTCTTGTTAAGTTTTTTAAACTTTTTGTGATCATGGAGTATGTGGTCTAGTTTTTTTGTTGTAATCCAATTTGTTTAGGATGACAAAGATGTTGGTCTTATCAGCTTTTTTTACAATAATGTCAGGGTTGTTGCGTAGTTCTTGTCCGGCAATTTTCAGTTATTTAGAAAGTATTTTTGAGGAGTTTCTGCTTTTATCATGCCGATCCTTGAATGCCTCGGCCTTAAGTCAGTCTTTAAATTCTGGTGTAATTTCTATTAGTTCTCCATCCTGGAGTTTAACGATGTTTTGGTATAGGGTCTCAATTTCTATTTTTTAAAAAGTCGATTGTACTTACGGTATATATGGAAGTTAGGTCGAAAGTTAAGTAATTCTTTTTGATGCATAGTTGGAAAGGTTAAAGTATTTATCAGTTTTGTTAGGAAGAGTGATATTACCTTTGTATAATGTATTCAGTTATTTTATAATTTGATAATTATTTCATCCACTGGGGTTGATTGTTCTAGTTCCTCGTACCATGCCTTTCGTCGTGAATATAACAACAGTCCGAACAATGTATATAGTGTAAATAGTTACAATACCTCATCTCAGAAATAGAGACGAACTAGCAGCATGGCCCGGCGTTGCCCGTGCTTGATTCAAAAATCGTACGACTCATACAGCAATCGCTATCACTTGACTTAAAATATTTTTGCCTTTTCTTGCCTTTAAAGGAGTGCCCTTTGCTATGCTGATGTTGCTACATGCCTTACTTCTTGCCTATCTCACATTGCGAATTTTTTCTAAGCTCTATACTAAACATTAAATCTGTTACGAAAAAAGAACTAAACAAAATGAACACAAAACGATCAGCTTTAAAAAAAGGACTCGTAACTGGAAAAACCGAATGAAAAAAGAATGTTAATAACAAATACTTTTTCACACCAACCCAGTTCTTCGGAAT